TTACTTTATTAAACATTTCTTTCAATGTAAGTTGTTTAAGTTGCTTCGTTTTTTATGTGATAATACATTCTCTTTAATTCTTTAAACAGACATAATTTCTTGTTCAGTTACAAAGTTCCGCTGTTCAAGTCCTATAATTGCTGTGTGGAGAATACAGACTAATTTGTCAATAGAAATTTTTTCGTTTTCAATAACCTCCGTCACTTTCTTCGCTATCGGAAGCGAATTATAATGACGAGGAATTTTATTTAAAGCATATCAAAGATGGAGTACATCGAGATGAAATACTACATTTAATAAGGAATTATAAGCCAAATAAAATAAAAACATCTGCCCTGAAGATAAGGATAGTGCTGAGAGATCAACTTCCAATTCACTGCGCGGCGTTAAAGATAAAGTTTAGATAAACAAACGTTAAAGTTTAGATAAACAAAGGATATGCCATTATCCATTTTTTGTAGCAATTCCACTTTTTTTTTAATAAACTTCGAAACATACTTTCGCTTTGTAGATCATTTACATATTAATAAATATATATCAGAAATTCTATTTGACATAATCGAAAGTTCAAGCTTACTTTTATAATATTGCTCTAACAGTCTGCAAAAAATAATAAGCCGTATCCAATTCGAAGATTAAGGAACAACGCAATCTTCAACATTAACTGCAATAGATAATTAAATAATTTTAGCCTAGCTTATACCGTCTGTTATACATTAAACGCGCACTCGTAAACGTATTTTGTGCAAGTGCACAAGCATATTCTCAGCGGTAAAGGCGTTACGCGCATGCGTCAATGCGACACATGCACAGGAAGTTTGAAGCTTTGAGGTCCGGATTATAGATCATTCCGGATTATGGGTGTCCGAATTAACGACTTTTGACCGTACCTATCGGATACATCCGAAAACGATCTATGATATCAGGTATTAATTCAATAAGATTCATTCCTTTACACAAACATTCATTCAAAGAGAATTTCCCTTTCTCAGATGCAGAAGCGTCAAAAACAGGACGAATTTTCGAGGTTTCACTTCCTAATTTGATTACAGGCCTATGCGGCAAATAATGACATTCATTATTCAGTTCGTTTTCTGGTATGCGTTCAATAATATTCAACCTTTCCCATTCCTTGAACACATTTTGATAATCATCGAAAAATTTACTACATCTGAGTTTATAGATCATCTTTTGATACCTTTTCCAGGAAAATTCTTTATTATCGGTAAAATGGGTCATATCACATTTCCATGAAGTTCTACTTCATATCTTCTGTCTGGAAGAATTTTTATTTTATTATCAAATTCAGATAAATTAAAACTCTTTCATGCTAGCAGCTTCGATTGGAGCGCATATTCCTATTTTTCCGAGTTCCCATAACTCATTCAAAGGAACTCTCCTGACATGCATTGAAAATGCTTTAAAAATATCCTTTTCACCCGAATTTCGTTTTTCAAATACCCAAGTTTCGTTTCGACAGCCATTACCCTCGACAGTAATTCAATAGAATTTCCCGTCAATTATTTTCCTATAACATCTGCTCCAATTAAAAGGTTAATTTCAGTTCCCTTTCGCAATGGATCAGAAAATTCGATTTCTTTTTCTTTTAATTCATTCAAAATCTCTTTATCCTTAACCTTAGGAATAAAACTGCAAATCCTTTTTTCAGAAAGTGCTTTAAAACTACATGCAAACGTTCCCTTTAAACTGCTGACCTCGACCGAAAACACTTCATGTTGTTTAGGTTGCATTTCGTCCCCCCCCCCAAACAGTGCACGTATCTCTCCTCTCTCAGTGGAGATGTTTTAAGATGACTCATCATACTTTTGCTAATGTAGCTACTTAGGCTTCGGCTATTAATTATGCAGCGAATAATTTTCTCACGACCTTGACACCAAATTTGAACACACAGCGTTTGCAAAAATACAGTTTCACTTCTGCCACAGTTAGAAAGAGAACTCTCTTTGGAAACACGTATCTGATCATTAATTTTAGCTTTTGATTACACATTACATCAAAATGATTACAACTTTTGCAAATAGAACAACTTAATTAAGACACAATAACACGCCGAATAAATACTAATTCAGAAGTCAAACAACAAAAATCAGCGTTATATTTACAAAATTTTCACAGGACTAGTTTCGATGGTTTTACCGAACCACCATCTTCAGCTGCAAAACCGCAAAATCATTTTGCGGTTTTCGAACCACCATCTTCAGCTGCAAAACGGTTCACGGTTTTGCAGCTGAAGATGGTGGTTCGGTAAAACCATCGAAACTAGTCCTGTGAAAATTTTGTAAATATAACGCTGATTTTTGTTGTTTGACTTCTGAATTAGAACAACTTAACTTACCTTTCAAAGGACAAAATTTACTATAGGACTCGCTCTTTTCAGACAAGAGAAACAAGCACCTTTTTTCAATAACAATTGTTGTTTTTCAGCTAAAGTCATTTTTTTTTAACTTCTTAACTTCCTGTTTTAAGAAATTCATTAAATGTTGCAAGGATCGAGTCCCTTTAGTTTCAATGAAGTCGTGATTTCGGCTTCTTTCCCATGCCATCAGTACTTCTGGTAACCAACTTTCCACTAAGGGGGTAAAAAAATCCCCATATTTTTCTTGGTTTGTCCCCAAACTTTCCAACGCTCGCAATTTTCCTTCAAGTTCATCATACAGGGAGGGTAGATCAGTTTTTGCTCTTGTGGTTACAGCATTTTTCATCACTAGGCTTAACAAGTCTCTCACATAGATTTGCACAAGTAAATCTTTGCGTCCAAAGCGCTCACTTAGTTGTTCGATGGCTTTAGGATAATTAGCTGCCATTGCCGGGAAGCTAAGAACTAGGTGTTCTGCCTTCAATTTGGGTTCCATGGCCTGCAACAGGTACTGCATTTTATCTTCATCAGCGATACTTTTGTCATCGTGGATTTTCTGAAACTGACTCCAAAAAGTCAGGTAATCCTTAGCTTAACCACTGAATTTTTTAAGCTCAATTTTATCTTACTTCAGTATTTTATACTCGTAGTAAATGTATATATTTACATTTGCCTGCTATCTTAAAAAACGTTTTCAAAAAAAAAAAAAATTAATCTATTATTTTTAACGATATTTATTTTTTTAAAGTTTCGAATACTTTACTATGCGCAAAACACGTAAAAACAGTGTTTTTCAAGATGGCTGACAATTTTAAAAACCGCACCAAAACAAATCGCCAAAAATTTTTGCAACCGTCTACCAAAGTAGCAAATTCTCCTTTACTCAACAGTATTCACACTGTAAAAAATTATTTTAAAATCATCAATAAACTTAACAGACATTTCTCCCCTGTGTTTCATTATGGTTTCTTTGATGTCAAATCAATGTTTACCAATGTTCCAGCTGAAGGAGCACTAAAATATCTTGAAACTAGGCTTTGAGAATTCCATTTCATACATACCGAAATTGAAGATTTACTTTTTCTTGCTAAAGTCACTTTCAGACAAACCCACTTTGTTTATTAAAATGAATATTATCACAAAATCACTTTTAGGATTAGCTATAAGTAATCCTCCAAGTCCTGAACATGCTGACATTTACACGCACTATTTTAAGGTCAAATTATCTCAGAAATTGTCTTTTCATCTTTGGAGTCATTATGTCGTACTTCCATTTTATCCTTCTAACAGTTACAAAATTGCACAGATTCTCCAGAAGCTCAATTTTCAAGTCATTTTCTCACCTATCAATAAAAATTTATGGTTTGATTTTAAAAGATTTCATTTCTGATCTTTAATTCTTGGGGAATTCATAAAATATCTTGTCAATGTGATTCAAGACATATAGGCCAAACTAAAAGAGCATTAAATTTTCGCATCCGAGAACACAAATCTTATGTCCAAAAAAGGTAAAATTAACCTGACTGGTATGGGTGAATATATACATACAGCAAAAAACACTGGTATGGCCTACAGACAATAAGAATATGGTGCAAGACATAGGTGTAAATTATAGACACTCATTTGCACTTAGCGAAGACTGGCTGTTTTCTGCTGTCTTGTGGGTATGTTCAAAAATTATTTCTATCATATATGTCCAACACTCACACAAACCTAGTTATCTCGTTTGTTGCTTATCTTGTTTATTTGGACAGTCATTCTGTGGCTGCAAACCGCTCATGAGAAGTGCTTAAACTTACAGCATTTAGCAGTCAAAAGGTTAACAAGTCTTCGATAGTAAATCATAGTTGGAAATACAATCACAGCTTTGATTTTGAACCTGCAAAATCATCCCAAAAGCTTCTTCCATTGGTGAATTGGATTTTCTTGAAGCTTTTCACTTTCACAAAGATTTTCCTTGTTTAATTAATGCCTTTAAGTTTTCCTTGTTTAGTTAATGCCTTTAAGTCCAATCCTATCCTTGATAATGCTTTTAAAATCCTATTAATTTAACATTCCAATTTTAGTTGCTGCTTCTGCCAACAGATGGCACTACTTTCGCATTCGCCTTACTTCTGTAGGGAACAAATACGAAAGTGCTTTTCCCTTCATTACAGATTTCTTTGCTCCTGATGAAGAGGGAACTGTACCTGTTTGCCTTTGAAATCTATAGAATTCTTGACTAAACCTATGACTAAACATAAAGTTGACATTTTTGCTAATTTTATAGGAATATATGCTGAAATTTCAACTATTCTTAGGTGAACAGTGATCGTGGAGAGTTTGCAATGCCAAATTTATTTTATTTTATTTTTTGTAGTAAAAAACACATTATTATGTACATGGTAAGAGCAACAATGCAAATAAATTACTGAAGGGTTCCTCCAAAAGGGTTAAGTGTTTTATTTATTTTATTATGGATGTAAAAAGATAGAAGGTACTGGATGCATCATCAAAATAGTCATAAAGATACCCAAATAAATGCTTCTCTCGACAGTTGTCAACAAGTTCGCATCTATTGGATTAGGATGTGGATAAACAGGAAGTAATTAAACATTTTGCATTAAAATTATTTATAGCTTACCTGTGACAATTTATCTTCATACTGCTGTTTGTCTTCTTTGGATGAGCTTTTATCAGGTACTGCAGATGTACTAATTTCTTGCATCCACTGCAATATTTTATCGGTAGCACCACATCCGCTTACATGACTATCTCGTTTGGCAGCATACGGATCATGAACATCATTTTCAGAATATATGACAGAATGATATGGTTGATCTTTCAGTCCATATTTATGAGTACGTTCTACATAAAATGTCTGGTTCTTGGTATGAACTTTGCCCTCAAAAATGCCATTTCGTATAGAACCATATACAAGAGATTCGTGTTCGCCTAGAAATTGAAACAAAATATTAATTGGCATAACAATTATTCTAGGGAGGAAGTCCTTTTTTTAATTAGATGAAACATTTTAAAACAAATTTCAAAATTAACTTAATTTTCATTATTTTACTACAGCACACTTTTCAATAACAATGATAATTACAACAAACTTCCCTTCTGCCATCAAAACACTACACTAATATGTTCAAGAATCTCAAAATTTGTGTCCTAATAATAAAAAATTATTGTTCTTTATTTTCTGAATTTTTATTAGAAAAATTCTTATAAAAAATGAAATTAAAAAAGAAACTACTTCTGTTCATTTAACAAATTACGATTTCTTAAATCTGAAAGTTGTTTTTTACCACACTAAACCATGCAAGTGAATTACAATGTTTTCACATGGAAATATCTTAATTGTTTAAAATGAAATATCAGATCACCATTCAAAACTAAAAGCTTAGCTATTTGGAATTCTCAAATTAAGACATTCAGATGTTGAGATGCTTTTTGAGATTTTCATAGAGATCTATGAAATGACATACTAAACAGTAACAATAAATGCTTTAAAAGTAAGAATTTTACTACAAGTTACAACTGAATGTCATTTAATCTATGCTCAGTTGCACAAATCATTGAAAGAGATACCATTGAAGGGTGGAATGAAATTTTAAAATACTCATTTGGAAATTCTATAGCTATCAATGTCACAGTATTAGGGTTACTGTATACTTTTATCATCCCTATAGAGCTTTATTATCATAAAGCAGCCTTTTTACAGTACAGGATGGAGAACTGAAGAGACAAATCTTAAAGATAAGTATTATATACAGCAATAAAAAGAGATGAACATGGTTTAGTAAGTCAGAATATTGGGTGCACAAAACAGATTTACCTTCTTCGATATTATACCTTGAAAATGCCCTCCATGACAGTCAAGGTACTACCGCCATAGCCACGGTACAGTTGCTGTAGTATGATTACAATACCTGCACAGCATTCATTATATCCAGATGAATTTTATTTTAAAAGCAATGAGCTATGATGTAAATGGAAACTTGAGCTTTAAAATATTCTTATTAAAATTTTTAGGATTTGGTAAGCTGTCTAGTTATTCACTATATTATTCCTAAAATCTTTACCAATAAGGTCTTCAGAAGGGTCCCTGACCCAAAACCTTCACTTGTAATTTTGTGCAATGAAAATAAATATTTCAATACTGTAAAGGCCCTTATTTTCGCAAGCCTAATTTTCACGAAAATGAATATATCGGTGATTTCACGAGCTGAAAATTTCGAGAATTTTATATGAACAGAACCGAAAGTTGAAAAATTTTCAAAAGTACCTAAGTAAAGTTGAGAAAGTTGAAAAATTCCAAAAGTACATATTTTGCATAAAGCATTTTAAGAAACTTCCTTTTCTCCGAAAAGTTTGTCCCCCCCCTCTCACATCGCTCTTAAAACAACCTACGGTGCTTATCAACTTTGACCTTAGCTCAACGTGCGCCCTTTTGCACCGAAAGTGTAATCACCCCACCCCCTTCACTTGTCTCAGAATCGGATCATCCATGCCCAACACCTGCTTGAACAAGTTGCTGCTAGCAGGAGAACAAGAGCTGCTAGCAGGAGTTGCTGCTACGGAAGAATACGCCGCCAAGTTATTCTAAGATCGCCAAATATTCTGATGAGACAAGATATAGAAGCGGTGAGTGCGAGATAGAAAATTGAGAAGAGAACGTTATTAGTGGCATAAAAAAAAAATGTGGAAATACTTGTACAAGTTGATGGACAAGGGAGAGAAAATTCCTATAGGAGATCCAGCGCCGGTAGGGCTTCCAGATGCAAGAAATGCTAAGTCATTTGTTGAATCAAAAGAAATAATATCCCCTAATACTGAGATTTCTACTGCTTTGAAAGCAAAATGTGGGTGAAACGTGGGTATGCAGTATATGACGAAGTACTGAGGTCCAAAATGGGCCGATACGCTACTATGAACGGAAATTCTGCAGCAGTGAAACATTTCACCTCTGAACTGTGAAGGCCCGGTAAGTGAATCAACCATTCGCAGCATAAAGAAACAGTACATTCAAACATATAAACAAGCTAAAGCGGATGTAACAACTTTACCGCACGGTAATCGCAGTTGACCCCTTATAACTTTGTGATTTCGATGCAAGCGTTCAAACATATATACATAAATTGCGGATTGCTGGTGGAATAGTGAACCGCACTATTGTTATTGCAGCTGCAAGAGGAATTGTGAAATCACATGATCCATCTCTACTAAACGCTTTGGATTTGAGCCCATGATGGGCCAGAAGCCAGCTGGAAAAAATGAACTTTGTTCACAGAAAGTAAACCAAGGTCGCACGAAAACTGCCCCCAGACTTCCCAGCTATTCGCGACGAATTTGTTCAGCGTGTTCGTACAGTGATCGGCAAAAATGTTGTTCCCCCTGAGATGTTCATTAACTTTTAATCAGACAAATGCAAAGTTTGTGCCTACATCTAATTACACATTGGAAGAACGTGGTTCAAAACAAGTGTCTGAAATCAGCATGGAAGATAAAAGAGAGATGACTGTTTTGTTAGCATGTTCCCTTGCTGGAAACCTACTTCCACCCCAATTGTTGTTCGCTGGAAAAACAACAAATTGTCATCCAAAGTTTGCATTTCCCGCGGACTGGGACATGTGGCACACTGATTCGCAATGGAGTAATACTGGCACAATGATTCTATACATCGAGAATATTCTTGTACCTTATTATGACAAATACAGAGAGCTTCTCGTGCTAATTCCAGAACAACCTGGTGTAGCATCGTTCGACGTTTTTAAGGCAGACCAAGATCCTCTTTTTCTGACTGAACTAGAGAAGAGGAAAATTATTCCAGTTTTTGTGCCCACTTCCTGCACAGCAGAGCTCCAACCTTTGGACTTAACCGTAAATGGCGAGTTCAAGCGTTTGCTCAAGAATGAGTTTATTGAGTGATATTCTAATGAGCTTCATTTCTAGAGGAAAAAGAATCTGTGGACTTGTGAATATCACGAAAAACCGATTCACGCTTCTTGGCTTGTGCGCGTATTTAACAGTATTGAAGCCAAACATGAGATAATTTTGAATGGCTTCAAAGAAGCTGGTATAAATAGTATTCTAAGTGAATGAGCTGCCTTCTTTTAGTTTTATTGTTTTATATTCAAGAAATGTAATTGTATACTATTCAAAAAATAGTTATAAGAAAGAAAGTTGTTGAGAAAAAGCTTGTAACTATGCAATAAATCATTAAATTTTGGGTAAGTGGAAAATTTCTGATTTATTATTTTTATTATTTGAGGCAGGGGAAAAAAAAAAAAAAAAAAAACTATTTCGCGAGGCTTAAATTTTCGCGATTACAACGGGCTGGCAAAAATCCTAAAAATTAAAGCCTCGCGAAAATAAGGGCCTTTACAGTATACAAAACATCTAGGCTAGCGACTCTCAACCGGTGGTACGTGAGAAAGAACTAGGTGCTACGCAAAGAAACAAAGTATTTTTAAATATTAAATTTAAAATTAAATACCCCAACATTCTGTTCAAGTTTTTTTTTCAACACTCGTAAATTTATGTGATCTGCACTTTGTTCAAGGTCAATAGCAACTCGTACACTTGGAAAAAAAAAATCCATTCTTATTTTCACAAATATTCTTTTAGTCATAGACATAACAAAATTTGTCATAAACAATGTTTTTAAAAGCAGTCACAGAAATGAAGGTTATATTTAATAGGAAATAAAAATAAGTTCCCATAAAAAGATAATAGTATCTTGAAGAGTCATTAGGTTATTTTGAAGCACGAAACATGAAAAATGAGCCATGTCCTCGCAGAGACTCGAACCTGGACCTCTCGAATACATGACAAGTGTGCTACCGTTATACTACTAGGGCACGCATAAAGAAGGGGAAAAATACCTTACATACTCCCTTTCAGAGGGCGACTAGGGGTTAGTAAATATTGGGTGTGAAAAATCATCATCCACCACCTTTTAGTTCGGGCCCCACTGTCGAGTCATTAAGTTATTTGGTTAGAGTAGAACTGAAGGGTACCCCTTATATTATCGGGACGTTGTTGTTTCATTTATCACCAAGTTATTGATTCATTTATGGTAACCTGAGTAGTTGAATGTTATAGAAATCCTATTATGACGTAATCGGTTGCATTATTCCAGGAAATTTTGAATCATGGAATGTTTTGTAAGGGCTTTGTGGTGTGTGTTGATTAGAAAGTACTTTGCTTGTTTTGTTGTTTAGACGGTAGAATGGCTGAATGTAGTAAAATTAATTTGAAATTTCTGTACGATTTGGAATGAAAGGGGAAAAGAGCGCTAATTGAGTGGTGTGTAAATCAAGGTGTACTTAGTAGCCATTGTAAGTGTCCTGTTTGTAGAAGGGAAATGTGTATGGTCGAGCGTCGGATTATAACAGCGCTTATTAGGATATTTTTTACACTTATTTTGTGAATTTATGTGGTGAAGCCGATATATGAATTTGAGTTCAGATAACTTTAGGACATTTTCAGATGCTGTTAAGGAATTTTCTATACCACAGACTGAAGCTGAAGAATTTTCTAAATAAGGTAAATAATAATTTCTAAATAAGTGGATATTTGCTTTATGTAGTGCTTAAATGCATAACAGGTTTTTCCTTTTTTATGTTATTTTATTGTTTGGTTTAAAATGTAGTTTATTGAGATTATGTATTTTTTGTTTGCCTCTACTGTAGAATTGTGTCCACCTTTGACTTTTTAAGTTTGTGCTATTCTTCGAGTTTATTTCAAATGAAAATAGGTCGGCGTGTACATCGATAAAGTTAAGGGAGTGCGCAATGCAAATTTGTGCTATTCTGGGATTTTTTTTAAGTGAAAATAGGTCGATGTGTAAATGGATACAGAGTTTGTGTAATTCTTGTTATTTTGCCTTTGTGTATTCTTGTTATTTTTCTTTTGTCGATTTTTGGCTCAAGAATCCCCGCTACACAAACCAAAACAACATATCAAAGAATTGCACAAACTCGGTATCCATCCAAAAAAAAAGGCACATTTTCGCCAAGGGGTACCTGTAAATATACTTTTACCGGTTATTTTTTGAAGCAGGAGAGACATGAAAAATGTGCAGTGCTTTCGCCAGGACATTAGGTTATTTGGAAGCAGGAGATGAAAAATATACAATAACCTTGCCAGGACTCGAACCTCAGACCTCTTGAATATGCGCCGAGTGTGCTGATCATTACACTGCGAAGGTATGCTAAGAAGGCAGGAGAAATACTTTGTAAACAAAGTAAAATACGATGAGACAAAGAAATTGTTCTCTCTTAAATAGGTCCAAATTTCACATAAAATTTTAGAAGTAAAATCCTTATAACTTGAATTTTGATTATTAAAATGGTTACCAATTTTTAATCTAATACTTTTTTTACTTATGTGTGCATATTTGATACAAATGGCCAAAACGTGCAAAATACTTTTTTTTTTTTACTATTCCTATTGAGAAATTAAAAAATAATCATTCTAAAATGTAGTGGTGGTACTAAAGTTTTTCAGTTTTAGTTTAGATGGTACTCGTTAGTCAAAAGGTTGAGATCAATGTTCAAGGTTCTATCAATGTTCAAAGATATTCTACATTCTGTCATAAAGTCACTAAAATAATAAAATGAATTTTCAACAAAGGATTGTTAATACAAATTAAAACAGATTTAATCAGTTTCGTAAATACTGGATGTTTCTGTTTCCTATCTTCCTTTAGGCTGAATACTTTAGTTCTTATCTGACTTCTTTCAATAGTGAAAATTTTTTATGTCATTTCTAAATGACATATTTTCCTAAAAGAAAGATAATCAGCTTATATTTTACGCATGTGGAAATTCTGGATTTAAAAAGGTTAAAATATCTTATTACATCCAGACTGCAATCATTTCTGATAACTGTCCTTTTAAGATGAGAAAGGGAATACAACAGACAGCCTGTTTTTTATTGTTTCATTCTCTACACACAAATTACAGTCGAAAGTCGTTAATCCGGACTCGTCGGGACTTCGGCGATTCCAGATTATCATCAGTTTAAATATGGTAAGATGGCATGCAGAAATTACAAAATTAAAAATATGAAACCGTAATGATCTAAAGGGTATCAAAATTTACAAAAAGAAAAACCTTAATATTTATTTGTTTACTTTATTAAACATTTCTTCCAATGTAAGTTGTTTAAGTTGCTTCGTTTCATGTGATAATACTTTCTCTTTAATTCTATTAAACAGACATAATTTCTTGTTTAGTTACAAAGTTCCGCTGTTCAATTCCTATAATTGCTGTGTCGAGAATACCGACTAATTTGTCAATCGAAATTTTTTCGTTTTCAATAACCTCTGTGTGACTTTCTTCACTATCGGAAGCGAATTATAATGACAAGGAACTTGATTTAAATCATATCAAAGACGGAGTACATCGAGATGAAATCTAATTTTGGTATGCAATAAATGATCGCCAAGTAGGATATTGAAGACAATTCCAAGTCGCCCGCAGAGCGATTGAAAAATTGAAACACTTTTGGACCACTTGATTTAGGTTTTCTGGTTTGGAAATTACCCTAAAGTTTAAGTAATCCTTCCCAGTGAAACTTACCAGGATTGCTTTGGAACTGAGAAAATATATTAACAGCATAAGCTATATCCGGACGAGTACGATTGCAAAGAAACGAGAGACATCCCAAAACATTTCTATAAGGATAATTCATCATTTCAGTCGTTTCTTCTTGTGTACTGGGACTTTGAGACTTTGAGTATTTCACACCTTTAACTATTGGAAGGGAAGTAATTTGTATTTTAAAAGACTTAAATCGATCAACTATGTCTTCTATATATAATTGCTGATGAATTAAAACACTATTTTTCTCATATTCAAACTCCACACCCAGAAGCTTTCTTGTTTTACCTAAAATTTTCAAATCAAAATGTGAACTCAGGACTTTTAATATCCTTTTGGCCTGAACTTCACTTTTCCCAAACACAACTATATCATCAACATAAACCAACAGAA